AATATTCCAACATTAGAAATTATCAGGTGTTGGAAAAATTTGGATGAGAATGGACAATGCAAGTTTGTAGAATCTGTTTACCGAGGCTTTTAAGGATAAGATCTCATCTTTCCATTTACAACTGAACTATACTGTGGGCTTTATAATGAAGTTTAAGAATTGCATTCTGGACCCAAGATTACCTAGATCTGAATTCTACACGTGTAGCTGTTTGACTTTGGACAACACTCTAAGCTTCAGTTACCTGATCTATAAAACAGGGATAAAAATAACAATACCACATCAGGTTGGTGCGAGGCTTAAAACAATAAGGCAAAAGCCTTATTGCCAGTGCCTGATACACAATAAGCTAAAACATATTAACTATTATTATTATATGGTTACTAGGAGCAACTTACATTTTTATCTCGATTTATATAATATGTTTCTAAAATAATTTGTGTAAATGGAAACTCAGATTCTCCCTGGCTTATAGTACAATTTTACATTCTGTCTTTATAAGTGTGATCTAACTGGAAGGACTTCTCACTCGTATTTTGTTTCTCCACATTTTTCACCACTGCAGAACCATTCATCCACCCAAAGTCAAACATTAAATGGACTAGAGTAATATTTAAATTAAAACAGAAACATCACCATAAAGTTTTAAAATACAATTATGATTTTTAAATTGCATTATCCAAAGTGGGACATCATAGCACGCAATGTCTCAAAGTTCAGTAACTTAACATTTACTGATCATGTAGTAGGCAGGTCCCCTTAGAATCCATGACCCCCATACATACTTATTACAGGATAATTTTAAAAGGATATGTTATGTATGAACTAATTAAAAGTGAATTGGGCCAGTCGCGGTGGCTCACACCTATAATCCCAGCACTTTGGGAGGCTGAAGCAGGTAGATCACCTAAGGTAAGGAGTTCGAGACCAGCCTGGTCAACATTGTGAAACTCCATCTCTATCGAAAAGCACAAAAATTAGCTGAGTGTGGTGGCACATGCCTGTAGTCCCAGCTACTGGGGAGGCTGAGGTGGGGGAATTGCTTGAACCTGGGAGGCGGAGGTTGCAGTGAGTCAAGATTGGGCCACTGTACTCCAGCCTAGGTGAGAGAGTGAGACCCTGTCAAAAAACAAACAAGCAAAAAAGTGAATTGCACATGGTTAATATGATGTTATAGCTTCATAAAACAAAGTCTTCCCTGGGTGGGTAGGTCAGTGCGTGTGTGCGTGTATGCGTGTGTGTGTGTGTACATATGTGTAGTTAATACACTCTAATGAATAGTAATAGTCTGAACTGACAAAGAAATGTTTATTGCAGCTTTATTTACAAGAGTAAACAAATAACATATATAACCAACACTAGAAAAATAAATTATATGACCATCTAAAATAGTTATATGTTATGATTTTTTAAAATATAATGTTAAAGTGAAAAATATTAGTGTGCCTACAGATATGTTAAGATGCATTTTTAAAACTGAAATATTCAAAATGTTCACAGTATTTGCCTCTGGGAGATGGAATTATAAAATACTTTGCCTTTTAAAATAACTACATATAGCTACCAAAACAATTGTAACGTCTACTAACTGTAGACAAAATTTATAAAGAATAAATAAATAAGGAAAATACTTTCAAATTGAGTCTAGTTGAGGATACTAATGAAAACTGTATGAACAACTACAAGCATCTAAAATAACTTCAAAATTAAAATACTACACTGGGAGGTACAATTTCAAAGTGAGTATCAAATTAAGTATCAGTGAACCCCCTACTCCCATGCTCCCCAAGGTAATGTTTGAGAAACAAAAACAAAAGAAAAATGAAATTCAATCTAGAGAAAGAAATGACAAAAAATAGACTAAACACAAGGAAAAGTAAGCCAGTGATTTTAGGTTAGCACATCTCAGTTTGTTCTCTTTTATTTTTTTTTCTGCCTCAATACTATTCACAAACACAACATACCCCCAACACTTATATCTCTCATTTTCTATAATGATTCTTGGAAGAGATAAACAGAATCCTAGAAGAAAAGTGTTTAAGGTTTCAAAATGTACCCCAGATTACAATTTAGTTGACGGCAAGTTCGCCAAATAGGGGCATATAAGCTCTACTTCTGCAAATTTAGTAAAGACATACACTAGGGAATTTATGGTTTGAACTAGTTCATTTGGAAAAGTTATTAGAAATTAATTTGTCTCTTTGATATCTTATGTTCTCAGCAAAGTATTACTGGTATGATACCAACAAGGAGAGTTTTCTTTATCCTTAGTCTTGGAACAGGCCCCCAGTTATGCTCCCATATTTCCCTCTACTACTATTACAACATACATCATTCTTTTATCACTTCTGCCATTTAATGTCTGCTATCAACTAATTTTATACTGTAAAAGTTGTAGAATAAAGGAAGTAAAATGGTATCTATGCAGAAAACTGGGTGGGAAAGCTTTCAGCCACTGGAAGAAAGTTGAAGGTTAAATATCTGTTATGTTCAAGGAACAACAACATGGTCTGTGTTGCTGGAGTGAATAAGAAGAGAAGGCAAAGATGAGATCAGAGAGATAATGTAGTCAGAACATGTAGGGTCCCACAGGTTGTAGTAAGAACTTAGGTTTTTTATTTTTAATGGTCTGGGAAACCATTGGAGAGACTTGAAGAGAACAGTGATCTGATTTGACTCACAAAGTTTCGGCAACAATATCCTGGCACCTATGTCAAAAGGCTTAAAATCAGAACAAAGAAACCTGCAAGTTATTGCAATAATTCAGGTAATACATGATAGTGGCCTAGACAGAATGGTGACAGCAAGGTGATGGGAAGTAGTCAAATTCTGCACCTGTATTGAAAACATAAAAGGCAACAGTTTTGTTTCGAACACTTTCAGTGTGAGATGCCCATTAGGTATCCGAGTGAAGAGATATTAAGTAGGCAATTAGATATACTCTTTCCTAAAGTACACCGAAGAGATCCAAGGTATATAAACAAATTTACAAATTTGGGAATCATCAGCCTATAGATACAGGTAGAGCATCTAAATCCCAAAATCTGAAATGCTCCAAAATCCTAAACATTTTTGAGCACCAGTATGATGCTCAAAGGAAGTGCTCACTGGAGCATTCTAGATTTCAAATTTTCAGCTTTGGGATGCTCAGCCAGTAAATGAAATGCAAATATTCCAAAATCCCAAAAGTTCAAAATGTGAAACACTTCAGGTTTCAGGTTCCAAGCATTTCAGATAAGGGATATTCAACCTGTAGTATAATTTTGAAAGTCAAGGTGATTAGATAAAATCACTTAGGGTGTGAGTATAAACAGAAAAAAAAAGGGAGAGATCCTAAGAGTGAGGCCTGGGACATTTTAACACTTACAGGACATGGAGACTGGGTAGGACCAGAAAGAAATTAAAAAGGGATAGCTAGAAACTGAAGGAAGAAAACCACCCAATTATAGTACACTGGAAGCCAAGAGGGGAAAAAAAAAAGTTTCAAAGAACAGAAAAAAAAAATGTTTCAAGCAACAGAAAGTCATCAATGGAGGAAAAAGAGAAAACAATTAATTAGTATTAATAACAATTAACAAGTATTAATAAAGTATAGTGTTTCAAATCATTTTAGCAATGGAACCTGGTTTAGAAACAAAAAACACAGTGGGCAATGCCACCCTATAAAACAAAAAGGCAGCACTGCTCTAGCTGAAGTGGAGAGAATAGACTGTATCTTCCTGCTTGCTATCATCTAGGTCCTTGGGAAAACACAAAGGGAACACAAAATACACACTGAAAACCACTGTTACAAAGCATCATTTAAAAAACATGTGTTTAAGTTTTAAAGTAATTTATTTCATGTTAATTACAGATATTGGATTTTCACAGTGATTTTTTTAGAAAAGTAAGATCAAAAGTAAAAATCCAGTAATTTTAGAGGGATAATATGAACTGTATTATTTAACCTCTCTAAGCCTCACTTGCCTCAACTACTATTATTAAATGAGAATAACACTATATAAACTAAGTTATTTATATAAATAATTTAGCACACTACACAAAACATATGAAGAGCTCAGTAAAGGTGTTTTTTTTTCAGACATTGTCTCGCTCTGTGGCCAGGCTGGAATGCAGTGGCATGACCTTGGCTCACTGCAACCTCCGCCTCCCAGGTTCAAGTGATTCTCCTGCCTCAGCCTCCCAAGTAGCTGGAACTACAGGCATGCACCAACATGCCCAGTTAACTTTTTGTATTTTTAGTAGAAACAGGGTTTCATCATATTGGCCAGGATGTTCTCGATCTCTTGACCTTGTGATTCGCCTGCCTCGGCCTCCCAAAGTGCTGGGATTACAGGTGTGAGCTACCATGCCTGGCCAATAAAGGTATTTTTTTTTTATAATTATTAGATAAAATTATTGCTGCTGAGTCAGTTACCACACCTAAATACTTGGCTAAACCTTCTCAAAAGGCTCCTACAACAACTGTAAAGTAAAAGACTACTGAACAGAAACACACAAAATAAACAGAGAAAAATCCTGGAAAATATTGATCCTAAAGACCTCCTCAGCAATCCTCTTTGTATTTGTGAAGATTTGTCCAAAAATAATGTACAAATTTTATAATGAAAGTCTGCCTTAAGTCATAAACTAGAATCATACTTGACAAAATAATTTCTTATAAGAGCAGGCCAAGGAATTCCATTCCCCAAATCCTTTCCAGTTTTAAGACTATACTCCTAGTATGTTTCACTGCAGCTATCTGAATGCCAATTTAAAAAAATAATACCTACGAGCAAATCTCTATCTATATTTTAAGTGATTCAACTCTAATTACCATAAAGAAAATTCACAAAATTTTAAATGTTACCAATGAACCATCCTTCACTTCCAAATTTTGAGGAAACATATGTAAAAGGAAGTAATAATGAAATGCTGAAATGTGAAAAAATATAAATTCTCTGTATGTCCATAAGTTCATACATAAACATTTACATTTTTATTACAGAATAAAAGCATACTTTTTGGTATGATATACTTTCAGCTGTGTGAACATCTTCCTGATTTCTCAGTACTTTTTGTGTGTCCATATTGAGAACCTGAAGCTGCTGGATCAGCTCTGCTTGCTGGGCTGTATGTGTACTGTTCTGTTTGTAAAGATTCTGCAGCTCCTGCAGTTCCTTCCTGTGCAAAGCAAGCAATAAACAGAGAAAAGTATTGATAAAGATCATCTCAGTTAAATAATTGTGTTCATCTAAGGTTACAGACTGGCATCCTATTTTTCATCTATTATTTGTACTGCAAGCAAACTTATTAATAAAAGAAATACTGAAGTACTTAATATTTATCACATACACAGATAAAGTATTGATACAACGACTATGACTTTCAAAGCCAAATACATATTCATTTTCTTTTGTAGCTTGATAGTAATAAAAACCGTGGATATACATAGTACCACCTTTTATTTAAATTAAGTAAACACTTAAGTTTCAAGAATTAACAAGTGGTAAGGTCAACTATAGTTATTAGACAGTTTTGAACAAAGGGTATGTCAACCTTTCATTTTATATTATTATACAGAACTTTAAATTTATTAAAAAGAATCCCAAAGGGCAAATTTAAGTTTTCAAACCAAAGTTCCTTAAAGCACAACTGCCAATTCTAATTTGTAACCTCAGAGTCCTGGGCTGGGATTCTTGTGACTCCTCTAACTCAGCTTGAAGGAACTGATGAGGTTAAAAAAAAGTCAGAAAGTCATAAGAAAAATCTAGTCCTTCCAACCTACCCACGATAAAAGTGATAAGCAGGAGGACAAATGAACTGGTGGTGGTAATGACGGCACTAAGAGTCTAGGAGAACCACACCTTTGAGACAGAGGTTTCCAGATTGCTGTGGTAGTGAATCCTGTATAATACAGATTATACAAACTGGGAATTCTTTTGTATATTTAATTTGAACAGAGAAATATTTATAAAGCACTATCACATCAAAATATACTATAAACAGTAGTCTCTTGGTATCTATGGGAGAATGGTTTCAAGACCCACTTTGAATATGAAAATTTACAGATGCTCAAGTCCCTTATATAAAATGATATAGTTTTGCATATAATCTATGCACATCCTCCCAAATACTTTAAGTCATCTCTAGATTACTTATAATACCTAATACAAAGTACATGCTATGCAAACAATGTTATACTGTATTGTTCAGGGAATAATGACAAGAAAAAGTCTGTAGACGTTATACACATTCGGTACAGATGCAACCACTCATTTTTTTTCCCTGATATTTTCCATCTTTGACTGGTTGAATCCATGGATATGGAATCCATGGATATGAAAGGTTGATTGTACTTATATAATATTTTGAAGATTGTATTTCTTAATGGAACTTTTTTTACCTATAACTTTAAACTAGTCATTCATTCACATAAGTCTTAAAAGAAAGGAATAAGAGATAACAGAGACAGTTGTTGAACATGGATGAAAATTAGTATGGGAGCAAGGAGTTCTGCTTCTTAGAGATTTAGAACATTAATGTTCTCAAACCACAACTACCCCCCACCCCGCATTCATACAGATACATGGATATACACCATTTTCCTGTAACAATTCAAAAAACTGAAACATGCAGAAAATAGCAGTCAAAAACGGGGAAGGGGAGAGAAGAGAACCAATAATGGCACAATGCCTTCAGGAAATGTAATACAAGAGGAGGGGAAAAAAGACCCATAGTAATCATGCATGATGATTATTGCCATTTTTCACTAATATCATTAGCAAAATTTACCAAAGGAAATACGCAACAGGGCAGGAGAAAATTCCATCATAGTTAAGACATGTTAGCCAGGAGGCCTAAAAAAATGTCGCATTTAGAAAGGAGACATGATGAACATAAAACAAATTATCTTTCAATATAGTGTTAAAACATAGCAAATTTATGTATATTCCAATGTTAGTAGACATCTGGTATTTCTTAATGAGAAGGCCCGAATCAGCAGCTGGTCTTCATTTAAGGATAATGTACAACAAAATATATGTATCTTTAGTCATAAGAAACACAATAGGCAGGGCGCAGTGGCTCACATCTGTAATCCCAGTACTTCAGAGGCCAAGGCAGGTGGATCGCCTGAGGTCAGGAGTTCAAGACCAGTCTGACCAACAGTAAAACCCCGTCTCTACTAAAATTACAAAAATCAGCTGGGCGTGGTAGCATGTACCTGTAGTCCCAGCTACCCAGGAGGCTGAGGCAGAGGAATCACTTGAGGCTGAGGCAGAGGAATCACTTGAACCTGAGCCGAGATCACACCACTGCTCTCCAACCTGGGCGACAGAGCCAGACTCCGTCAAAAAAAAACAAACAAACAAAACACACACACACACACACACACGCATACACCGAAGGGTAGGGAGATGCTCATACTATTATGATGCTTTGCAAATTAAAAATCAACCTGGGAAAAAGTACATTTTTCTCTACTATCTCATACTATTTTCTGGGCATGCTCTCAATAAGTGGAAATGAAGCATAATCTTATACTATGCAGATATGTTTATTTCTCTCTATCTCCCCACACCACCCTCAGAAAAGTAGAAGTGATGGTATGTACACCAATGTTGCAAATATAAAAAGCAAGCAAAGCTCACAAAACTCACACATCTGAACCAGCGGAAAGCAATGAATTTGTCTATACCTTTCCTCATTTGAAAATAAGTAAAGAAAAACAGGGTGGGCCAAGATGGTCGACTAGAAACAGCCATGGTCGGAGGCCCCCCCACCAAAAAGAACGAAAACAATGAGTGAATCCTGCACTGGCAACTGAGGTATCCAAGTTCTCTCATTGGGACTGACTGGCACAACCCACAGAGAGCAAGGAAAAGCAGGGTGGTGCAACGGCCCACCTGAGAGCCACACAGGGTAAGGGGAGCTCCTACCACCAGCCAAGGGAAATGGTGAGTGATGGAGCTACTCTGCCTGGGAAACCACATGTTTTCCATGGATCTGTGCTACCCACAGATCAGAAGATCCCCCTCGTGAGCCCATGCCACCAGGGCCTTGGATCTCAAGTGCAGAGCTGTCCAGATTCTCGGCAGCCTCTTGGTGGCCTCTCAGCAGCCAACAGGTTGGTGACTACCTACAGCTACCAACTTCCTAGTGGAAGGCATGGCCATCATCACTGCGGCTGCCTGCTGCCTAAGATGCCTGAGTTCCTGGGGAGCAGGGGCAAGGGGTGACAGCCATGACTGCAGCTCCAGTCTGCCAATCTTCCCCTGCCAGTGCCAGGAAGACTAGATGATTTGGACCCAGACGGAATTCCCTACAGCACACACAGTGGCTATGGCTATGGCAGATCATGGCCAGACTGCCTCTTCAGGCGGAACCCTAACCCATCCCTCCTCACTGGGTGGGGCCTTCCTGCAGGAATTTTGGCAACTGCAGCCAGGGGTTTAGGGACAGAACTCTGATGTCCCTGGGACTGAGCCTCTAGTGGGAGAGGTGGCCACAGTCTTCACAGATTAGCAGACTTAGACTTTCCCCCTGCTAGCTCTGAGGAATCCGGGCAGTCCAGACGAGTGGGATTCCCCGCAGCACAGCACACCTGCTCTGTCAAGGGGCAGCCAGAATGCTTCATTAAGCACGTCCCAGATCCCCTGCCTCCAGACTGGGTGAGATCCCCAATAGGGGTTGCCAGACACCTTATACAGGAGCATTCCTGTTGGCAACAGGTTGGTGCCCCTCTGGGACAAAGATCCCAGCCAGAGGAAGGAGCAGGCAGCCATCTTTGCTATTCTGCATCTTCCACTGGTGATACCTCCAGGTGCAGAAGGGACCCAAGTGAATAGGTTCTGGAATGACCCCCAGCAAACCACAGAAGCCCTATGGAAGAGGGGCCTGACTGTTAAAAGAAAAACAAACAAACAGAAAGCAACAATAACAGCATCCAACAAAAAGGTCCTTGCAAACTGAAAGATCAAAGCTAGACAAACTCACAAAGATGAGAAAGAATCAATGAAAAAACAATGAAAACTCAAAAAGTCAAAATGCCTCTTCTCCATATGATCATAATACCTCTCCAGGAAGAGCACAGAACTGGGCAGAGGCAGAGATGGATGAACTGACACAAGTAGGCCTCAGAAGGTGGGTACTAATGAACTTAGAGAGCTAAAGGAGCATGTTCTAACCCAATACAAAGAAGCTAAGAACCATGATAAAACATTACAGGAGCTGTTAACCAGAAAAATCGATTTGAAAAGAACGTAAATAACCTAAGGGAGTTGAAAAACACAACCTGAGAACATCACAATGCAACAAGTATCAACAGCCAAGCTCACCAAGCAGAGGAAAGAATTTCAGAACTTAAAGACTATCTTGCTGAAATAAGACAGGCAGACAAGATGAGAGAAAAAAGAATGAAAAGAAACAAACAAAACCTCCATGAACTTTGGGATTATGTAGAAATACTGAACCTATAACTGACTGGGCTACCTGAAAGAGATGGGGAGAATAGAACCAAGGTGGAAAATATACTTCACGATACCATCTAGAACTTCCCTAACCTGACAGGCAAACATTCAAATTCATGAAATCCAAAGAACCCCAGTAAGATACTCCATGAGATGATCAGCCCTAAGACACATAATCATCAAATTCACCAAGGTCAAAATGAAGGGAAAAAAATGTTAACAGCAGCCACAGAGAAAGGTGAGGTCACCTACAAAGGGAAACCCATTAGACTGACAGCAAACTTCTCAGCAGAAACCCTACAAGTGAGAAGAAATTGGGGGTCAATATTCAACATTCTTAAAGAAAAGGATTTCCAACCCAGAATTTCATATCCAGCCAAACTAAGCTTCATAAGCTAAGGAAAAATAAAATCCTTTTCAGACAAGCAACTGCTGAGGGAATTAGTCACCACCAGGCCTACCTCACAAGAGCTCCTGAAGGAAGCACTAAATATCAAAAGGAAAAACCACTACTAGCCACTGCAAAAACACAATGAAGTACAAAGACCAATGACACTAAAAAGCAACTACATCACTAAGTCTGATAAATAACCAGCTACCATCATAACAGGATCAAATTCACAGATAACAATATTAACCTTAAATGTAAATGGGCTAAATGCCCCCAATTAAAAGACACAGAATGGCAAGCTGGATAGAGTCAAGACACATCAG